AAATGGAGGAAAGCAAATGACTGGATATAGAGTTCAAGGCCACGTTTATAAGGTTTTTCAAGAATTTTATGGAAACCGCCGATAAATTTAATGAATCCCTCAATAAGTATAGTGAGACCATGGAGGACATGAAAAAGGACCAACTAGAAATTAAGCATACACTGACTGAAATAAAGAATAATTTACAGAGATCCAGCAGCAGACAAGAGGATCCCAAGAATCAAGTCAAAGATTTGAAATACAAAGAAACAAAAAATACCCAACCGAAAAAGAAAAAAGAAAAGAGATTCCAAAAATATGAAGATAGTGTAAGGAACCTCTGGGACAACTTCAAGCGTACCAACATCAGAATTATAGGGGTACCAGAAGGAGAGAGAGGGCAAGATATTGAAAACCTTTTTGAAGAAATAATGACAGAAAACTTCCCCTACCTGGTGAAAGAAATGGACTTACAAGTCCAGGAAGCGCAGAGAACCCCAAACAAAAGGAATCCATAGAGGACCACACCAAGACACATCATAATTAAAATGCCAAGAGCAAAAGATAAAGAGAGAATCTTAAAAGCAGCAAGAGAAAGACAGTCAGTTACCTACAAGGGAATACCCATACGACTGTCAGCTGATTTCTCAACAGAAACCATGCAGGCCAGAAGAGAGTGGCAAGAAATATTCAAAGTGATGAATAGCAAGAACCTGCAACCAAGATTACTTTATCCAGCAAAGCTATCATTCAGAATAGAAGGTCAGATAAAGAGCTTCATGGATAAGAAAAAGCTAAAGGAGTTCATCACCACCAAACCAGCATTATATGAAATGCTGAAAGGTATTCTTTAAGAAGAGGAAGAAGAAAAAGGAACTCTTACCATTTGCCACAGCATGGATGGAACTGGAGAGCGGATAAATACCACATGATCTCACTCATTTGTGGAATATAATGAACAACATAAGCTGATGAACAAGGACTGATCCAGAGACGGAGAGGCATTGATTGGACTGTCGGGCCTTGGAGGGAAGGTAGGGGAGGGTGGGGGTAAGGGGGAAAGATCAACCAAAGGACTTATATGCAAGCATATAGGCCTAATCAATGGACATGGACAACGGGGGGGTGAGGGCATAAGCGGGGGGGGGGGGGTAGAGGGTAACGTGGGGACAAGGACACATATGTAATACCTTAATCAATAAAAAATATATTAAAAAAAATTAAAAAAAAGGCAGTGGCACATTTACATGATAGAATACTATTCGGCTGTAAAAAAAGAAGGAAATCTTACCCTTTGTGATAACATGGATGAATTTGGGGAGCATCATGCTAAGTGAGATCAGTCAGAGAAAGACAAGTACCATATGATTTCACTCATTTGGGGAATCTAATGAACAAAATGAACTAACAAGCAAAATAGTGACAGACTCACAGAGAGCTGGCTGACAGCTGCGGTGTGTGTGGGGGCAGTGATGGGGGAAGGAATTGAGCAAAAAAGAAAAAAAAAGAGAGAAAACAAAAAGCTCATGTAAAGGGACAACAGTGTGGTGATTGTGGGATCAGATGGAGGTGAAGGGGGTGGAGGAGGGTATAGTGGTGATAAAAAAGAAAAAAGAGCAGATATGGATGAACTATTCTCCTTATGTTCTTAATTAGATGTTGTCAAAGGTGTTTTATTTCGTCTTGGCCACTCACTCGTCAGTTGACAATGTGGTCTTTTCCTCCTGGATGTTTTGGAGACACTCATCTGCTTTTGCTGAGCGTGCTGTTTAGTTATGCAAACAACTACTTGCTAGAAAAGAAAACAAAACAAAAAATCCTGTCCCCTGACCCTCTCCTCTCCCCAGCTTCTCCCCAGACTCCACAAGTCCGCACCTCCACCTGCACCTCAGCCACGGATCTATGATTTGTTTGTGAGCTTTGATGACACCCCTATGGGGGCCACCTCCCTGGCCCGGGTCCGTAAGGCAGTGCTGCATGACAGGTGGATGGTGGCTGTGAAGGTCCAGCAACCGAAGGTGCAGGTGCAGAGCTCAAAGGACATTCTCCTGATGGGGGTGCTCGTCCTGGCTGTCAAACAGCTGCTTCCAGCGTTTGCATTCATGTGGCTGGTGGACGAAGCCAGGAAGAACCTGCCTTTGGAGCTGGATTTCCTCAATGAAGGGAGGAATGCAGAGAAAGTGGCCCAAATACTCAAACACTTTGATTTCTTAAAGGTCCCCCAAATCCACTGTGAGCTGTCCACCAAGCGGGTCCTTCTGATGGAGTTTTAGATGGTGGGCAAGTCAACGACAGAGACTACATGGAGAGGAACAAGATTGATGTCAACGAGATCTCGCGCCACCTGGGAAAGGTACATATACAGTGAAATGATCTTTGTCAATGGCTTCGTGCACTGCGACCCCCACCCGGGCAGCGTGCTGGTGCGCAAGGGCCCGGACACCGCAGAGGCGGAGATTGTCCTGTTGGATCACGAGCTCTACCAGGCGCTCACGGAAGAGTTCCGCCTGGACCACTGCCACCTCTGGCAGTCGCTGATCTGGACTGACACGGAGAAGGTGAAGAAGTATTGCCAGCATCTGGGAGCTGGCGACTTCCACCCCTTGTTGGCCTGCATGCTGATGGCCCGCTCGTGGAACTTGGTCAACAGGGGCATCAGCCAAGCTCCAGTCACTGCCACTGAGAAACTGAGATCTGCAACAACGCGGCCACCTGCCTCCCCTAGATCAGCCAGCTCCTCACCCAAGTGCCATGCCAGATGCTGCTCATCTTCAAGACCAATGACTTAGTGCGAGGCATCGAGGCCACCCTGGGCACCTGCGCTAGCTCCTTCCTCAACATGCCATGTTGCTGCGTCAGAGCACTTGCCACGCAAACAAGAAGAACACCTGTTCATTCTTCAAAAAGACCCAGATCTCCTTCAGTGAGACCTTCAGCCTGTGGCAGATCAGCCTTTATGAACTCATTCCGCGTGCGAAGGGGCTGAGGCTGGCCAGCTGGGTCTTGGCTCTGCTTTGCTGGCTGTTGCCTGCTCCACACTGAGTGGACTTTCTATCCCCTTCCCTTTTTCGGTGTGACTCTATGGTGGGCACGGGGTCTTTCCACTCAGCCTTTACTCATGTCTCTATCAGTTGCCCTGTTTCTGCCACTTGGTGGCCTGGAGTCCCGAGGTCACTGTCTGGAATTCCTGTCCCACCATAGCCCTGTCTGAACCACAAGCTGACCATGCAATAGTTTCTCTCCTTATCCAGGGAGATGGCACACAGTCTGCTTTCTGACTCCTGGCGTGTGCTGTTGGGTGGGATGTCCCCCCACTTCCATTAGCCTTCCCTGTGTCAGAGTGGCCCATGAATCCCACAGAGGGTGTAGGAAGTTTGACTTTACTGGAGGGGAGCAGGGTCTCTGAAATTGCTTGAGACAGATTCCCTCTCCTCACCCTCACACTCCCCACAGGTGTCGCCCCTTAGCAAGTGGCTTGGCCTCCAAGGCAGGCTGTGCTGCAGCCATGGGTTCACTGCTGTACTGGGGACCCCCTTGGGTAATGAAGCCCTTCAGGTCTTGCTTGGTGGGATTTGTAGTCTAGGTGGCAGTGAATCCACTTTGGCCATTAGGCAGGGGCAGACCTGGACACCATGTGCCATTGTGTTCTGCCTGGCTTCTTGCCTCTGCACCACCAGGTTGCCACGGCGGGGCCAGGCCACTTCCTGCTTCTTGTAGGTTTCTCTCATCCGCCAAGACTTAGACCTCCTTGGAGCTGTTAAGAAGCCCATGGCCAGGAATTCAGAGGCTCAGCTGAAACCCCTGGGTTCTCACCATATTCCCTGTGACCGGGCACCTGCCTTGTTCTAATAATCGCTTCCTGGCTTAGCCCTTTGGTTCATCGTGTGATGCCCCCAGTCCAGGAGACTGTCGTCTGAACCTCACTGTGGCTAGGGTTCCACTCTGTCACCTGCCTGCACCCTGTGCTTTACCTTATTGCCTGCGGCCAGTCTGCCCCTCTCCCAGCACAAACATCTGCTCCTGTTTCTGGGACACCCCAAACTCCTGTTTTAGCTGCTGTCCCTGTGTGTTCTCCAGGTGCTATTGGGTTGGATGTCTCCCCACTTCCGTTAATTCCTCCGGTGTCAGGGTGGACCATGGATCCCACCCACACTGGCACATTTAACTTGCAGGAAGTTTGAATTTGCTGGAGGGGAGCATGGTCTCTGAGCTGGCTGGAGGCAGGTTCCCTCTCTCTGCCCTGTTACTGTCCACAGGGGTCACACCCAGATTCAGTAGGTCCTAGCTCTTTCTGAGCACCTTTGCTCAAGGACAGTAATTGTGTATGAGTCTCTGTGATTTAATTCACCCCATTCATGGGGCAGAAAACCCCCAAATTTGAGTCTTATTTTCTGTTTGCATTGTTCATAATACAATAATCAGATTTTCCACTGACCACAGATGAGTCGAAATCCCTTTATTTCCTGAAAGAATTAATTGTTCTTAGTGACTAGTTGGGTGTGCCCAGGGGCCTGAGAGAATAATTTGCAAAATCTGTTACTCATCATGAGGATACATACTGGATATTATATATATATTTTTAAAATATATTTTATTGATTTTTTACAGAGAGGAAGGGAGAGGGATAGAAATAGAAACATCAGTGATGAGAGAGAAACATCGATCAGCCGCCTCCTGCACACCCTCCACTGGGGATGTGCCGGAAACCAAGGTACATGCCCTTGACCAGAATCGAACCTGGGACCTCTCAGTCCACAGGCCGACGCTCCAGCCACTGAGCCAAACCGGTCAGGGCTGGATATTATATTTTATGGTGTCTTTCATAGCCCCTGAAGTAAACATTTTTTGTTGTTGTTGTTTTTTTGTTCAGGGTAAAAAAATAAAATCCAGGGTAAAAAAAGAAAATCTTTGGGGAGATCATTTTAAAGCCTCAGTGAGACTTTACGTTTATTTTAAAACTATTTTTAGTTTTTGGTTCTTTAAAATCTTTTTTTTTTGTTTTATTTCTAATTTGCTTCCAGGAATGCATCTTTGCCGTGAAAGCTTCATCCTAGGGAATTAGCCAATCGCACCCGCGCACTTATTTATCTGGGGACTTTTGTTTCTATTTTCTCAGTATTGTGGTTGTGACTTTTATTATCGGTCAGACTGCGAAGACTTCAAGACCTGAGTCCTTCCCGAAAACTCTTTGGAATCCTGGCGTTAACTCCGCCCCATCTCTCGCGAGAGTTGAAACCGGAAGTGGCATATATTGCAGGCGTCGCGACAAGGTGGCGGCTCAGTTCACGTTGGCGGGAGCTGAGCGACCCGCCCGGCCTTGGCTCTCCGCGCGGGGCTCGCTCTGCTCTCGGGGCCGGCAGGATGCGGGTGGCCGTGGCCGGCTGCTGCCACGGGGAGCTGGACAAGATCTACGAGACGCTGGCGCTGGCGGAGCGGCGCGGCGCGGGGCCCATCGACCTGCTGCTGTGCTGCGGCGACTTCCAGGCGGTGCGCAACGAGGCGGACCTGCGCTGCATGGCCGTGCCCCCCAAGTACCGCCACATGCAGACCTTCTACCGGTGAGGCGCGGCGCGGCCCTGGGACCCGCGGGAGGGGGGACTCGCCGGCCGTGGGAGGACCCTGGGCGGGGTCGGAGCCCCTCTGTCTGAGTTCCCGTCCCGGTTGACGCCGTGTGTCTCCAGGAACCGGCGCTCGGTCAGTGTCACTCCTCACTGTCCACCTGCCTCACCTGTTTCGGGAGGGGTCGCAGCCTGAGGGCCCGACCTGCAGGGAGAGGCTGAAAGGTTAATCTGCTTGTACTCGATGGGATTCCGGGGCTAGTTGGTGCCGCGATCCCGGAGTTTCCATTGGGCGCCTGCTCCGCGCTCTTCCCGGCTCTAGAAGCTGAGAACCGACCACGTTCCTGACGTCACTGGCCTGAAACGCGAGGTGGCAGCCCTTCGTTCTTTAGGACGAGGATGGGCAATTTAAACCACGCACTGTTTTATTTTCCAAATCCAGTTTACGTTAAGTATTGTTTTGCATTGGTTTCAGGTGCGCTGCATAGTGGTTGGACAATGACACACTCTACGAGGGGATGGGCAGTGTGTTTAGAAAGTGCCTTTTAACTTGAAGGGAGGAGCCCAGATTTTTCCTGAAGACCTTGCTTTGCTCTGCTGCCCTGTCTGATTGTGTAGGCGCACCCGATTGCTTTTCTCTTTGCCAACGGACAGCTTTGCTCTTACGTTCCAGGTATTACTCTGGAGAGAAAAAGGCCCCGGTTCTCACAGTCTTCATTGGAGGGAACCACGAAGCCTCAAATCATTTGCAAGAGTTACCCTATGGTGGCTGGGTAGCACCAAACATTTATTATTTAGGTATGTGTTTGTGGGTAAGTTCTTGGTTTGAGGGGATGGAAGAGCCTTTTAAGCTTTCTATACCAGTTGGGCAGCGTCTTCAGATATATGGTGTTTTGGGAATGTCTCTTCATTTGAATAGGTCATCATGAAAATATGTCCATGCTTCAACTAGTGCAGTGATGGCGAACCTTTTGAGCCCCGCGTGTCAGCATTTTGAAAAACCCTAACTTAACTCTGGTGCCGTGTCACATTTAGACACTTTTTGATATTTGCAACCATAGTAAAACAAAGATTTGTATTTTTGACATTTATTTTATATATTTAAATGCCATTTAACAAAGAAAAATCAACCAAAAAAATGAGTTCATAGGTTCGCCATCACTGATCTAGTGGTTCAAGCAATAGATAATAAAACTGCAAAGAACTTACACACTACTTGTAATTCCTTTATTTTCCCCCACTCTTTTTATTAAATGAAAAAAAAGTAAACTTTTTATATTGGAAATTGTTAAACATACACAAAACTAGAGAATAGTACAGGTTTTCCTCAGTATTGGACTGTAGAATATTCCTGTGAACACTTTCATAAGGGGAAATGGTGTAAAGCAAATAAGCAATTACCAGTAATTTCAAAATCACCAATACTGTGGTAACATTAGAAAATTTTTATGTTTTTTAGTTATTGATTTTAGAGAGAGAGGAAGAGAGAAAGAGGTTTCTTGTTTTACTTATTTATGCATTCATTAGTTAATTTTTGTATGTGCCCTGACTGGGGATTGAACCTGCAACTTTGGCTTATCAGGCCAGTGCTCTAACCAACTGAGTTAAGTGGCCAGGATTCTACCAATTACCATTAATTTACATGCAAAAATTTTGAGTATTCCCAGTCCCAGAAAATAACCTACTAAATCATACCAATAGGTTTGATGACATCCAGTTTTTTGCTAAGTATAACTCCTTTACAAGCTCAGGCTTTTGTGCTACCTTCGGACACATCTAGCAAATAGATGCACAAAATAAATCGAGATAAAGCACAGATGCTCAGACACAGTTCAAAGCTATGGTGGCTTAATGCTGAGTGTAGTTTCTGGGGAAGGGGCTTAGTGGGGCCACTGTCCCTGCTCTGGATGCAGGCTACAAAACAAATGCTGAAGCTATTTTGGCTCTTCACCTATTTTCATTAGAGCAAAAATCCTCTTTGGATTTCTTTCAGTTAGTGAAAACAGGCATTCTGGAGAGAAAAAGGCTCCAGTTCTGTAGGTCTTTCATAAAAGTGAAATTGTGTAACACAGACTTTGGAAAAGCTGGGGATATCTGTATAATGGATCTCCATACCTATTAACTAGTTTCAACCACAATTATTCTGCCATCCTTATTTCAGCCCATCCTCCCTTAAACTTTTTTGGTGGGAGAAGTGACGAGTTATTTTAAAGCAAATTCAAGTCATGAGATTATTTCACCTGTAAACACTCAGTACATATTTTTTAAGTGATAAGGATTTTAAAAAATACCCAGTGCCATTGTTATACCTAGCTAAAGTAACAGCAATTCCTCTTCTCTGTTGCCTAGTTCATGTTTAGATTTCCCTGATTATCACAGAGATGTCTGTTTTATAATTGACTTGTTCAGTAGGACCCAAACAAGGTCCATGCATTTCATTGTCATGATGCTAAAGTCTCTAGCTGTTCCTTTCATCTCTCTCCTTCCCACCCCCATGTCATTTATTTGTTGAAGAAAATGGGAAAATTTCTTGTAGAATTTCCTGCATTCTAGATTTAGCTATTGGAATTCACTGAGTTGTTTAACATTTTCCTTTTATCCTCTGCATTGCCTGTAACCTGCATTTAGATTTACAGACCTGGTAAGATTCGGGTTCAATGTTAGCCCCTTTACACTCTACAGTCCTTTTTTCTCTTTCCTAAAATGTTTGTAGGTGTTTCTGAAAACTACAGAAATTTAATTTCTCTAGTTCATTACTGATTGATCAGCTTTTGACAAGTGCAACATTATGAAAAAGTGAAAATTTTTAAAGGTGGTCAGTTTAGAGATGAAATATAGAAACTGCAGGTTCTTTATACCTTAAATGTGCTGACTTTCAGATATATGACATATAAATCCATCATAGGACACTTTTTGCCTATTCCCTCACCACACCCTCATATTCCTTTAGGTACCAAATTATGTCTCTTTTCGTCTAAGCACATCCTATTTCATTTGTTTTTTTTCTTTCTGCTTAGTTTCTTGGCTGATCTGCTTCTAGGCCTCTCTTCCCCAGTCTACCTTATATATTGTTGGCATATTACTATGTAGAAGAGTAACCTTATCATGATACTTGATTTTCAAATAATTTTAGGACTGCATGGAATTTTAGGCCTGGAAACTGTTCAGTCAGTAAAGAGATTGCTTTTGCCTATAGTAATCTTATTTAACTGTAATTTCTCAGGTTTGGCAGGTGTAGTAAAATACCGAGGTGTAAGGATTGGTGGAATCTCTGGTATCTTCAAATCTCACGACTATCGAAAAGGTATTGTTGTTCTGACTGTTTTTAAACTTTAAAACTTGCATGCCCCAGAGTAACTTAAGCGTAATATATAGTTTGCCTTTTTCATTGGATTTTTCCTATGAACTAATTTATTCTTAAATTTATATTATAAAATATTTTATGCCTATGGAAATATAGAGGACATAGAATGTACTATCTGTGTATCCACCATCAAGTTTCATCAAGACTTAGTATTCTTGCCACTTTTCATTTTGATTTTTTAAGAAATAAAACAGTACAGAATCAGTTGAGACTCATTATTGTCAGTCCTCAGTCCCATTCCTCTTTTTATCCCTCCCTTTCCTCATTAGGTAGTCAGTGTTCTGAATTTGGTGTTTATCATTCACTTGAATATTTTATAACGTTACCATATATGTAACAGCTTTAAACAGTGTATTATATAACATGTTTAAACTTCGTATAAATGTATCATTTTGCATGTATCTTTCTGCAACTTCTTTAATATGTTTTTGAAATTCATGTTGATACATGTAACTCTAATACATTCATTTTAGTTTATGAATAGTATTCCATTGCATAAGTACAGTTGATCCTTGAACAACGCAGATGTTAGAGGTTCTAACTCCTGCATGGTAAAAAAAATCCACATATAAGTTTGACTTCTTCAAAACTTAAGTTGTCCCTCCATATTTGTGAGGGATTGGCTCCAGGACAACCCTCCCCCGCCCTCACTGTTATGGATACCAAATCCATGGATGTTCTACTCCCCTATGTAAAATGGTGTGTATCAATGAATATAGTTGACCCTCCACATCTGTGTACTCCCAACTGCATATCAAAAACAGTACAGGTATTTATTGAAAATAAAATAATCTATAAGTGTTGTTCAAGGATCAGCTATATACCACACTGCACTTATTCACCCTACAATATCTGAATGAATTATACCTTGATTTTAAAATTAAAGGAATAGCTTGTATTCACATTTGATTTTAAAATTTCTTGAATTAAGTTGGGTAGCTAAAACTTGTCTCCTCAATGTAACTGTTAAGTCACAAGTTTGTTCCCAGTGCCCTGCTCTCTATGATTATAAACTATTGGCATGAGTGTATAAAAATAAACCGTCTCCTACATGGCAGATGTGCGTGCAAATTGGAACCACTCTTTGGAGGGACAATTGGTCATATCTGTGAAAATTATAAAAGTACTCTAACCCAGGAGTTCTACTCCCAGGAATGTGTCTCTAGGTATATTTTGCATGAGCAAAATGATATATGCAAATTTATTTATTTTAGTTTTATTTGTAGTAGCAAAAGTTAGGAACTAGTTAAATATATCATGACATAACTATGCAGTTTAATGATATGACGCCATTAAAAAAGTAAAGAAAAGGACAAAGAAGCAGTTAATATGAAAAGAACTCCAAAATAAGTGAAGTGAAAAAACAAGGCACAGAACAAATATAAAGTATACAGCCATTTGTGTAAAAAAAAAAAAAAAAGGGAGGATAAAGAAATAGATGATATGTTATATGCATAGATGAGATCCCTAGAATAAAATTCTAAAACCTGATTAACGCTAGCTGCCTCTAGGTAGTGTTCCTGATGGCTGGGGACAGGAATTGGAGGACCCCCTCCCATTGTTCTGGCAGTTGTATTGAGATAAGATTTATATACCATTGTAAGTATACCATTCAATGGTTTTAGTACATTTATAGTTATGCATCCAGATTTTACCACCATCCAGATTTAGACCATTTCTATCACCCCTAAAAGTTTTGTGCCTATTTGTAATTAATCCCGGCTCCCACCAGCCCTAGGCATCCACTGGTCTACTCTCTAGGAGGAACACTTGGTATGCTATACCTTTCTGGAGGTATTTTTTTAAACTACAGTATGTGAATAAACAATGTGCTTCAAAATTAAATATAATTTCATTTTAAAAACCACAAGCCCCCAAATTTAGATTCATAGTTTCTGATCACTTAGTAATTGAACATATAAACATATAAAGAGCAGTGTTTTTTATAAGATTTTAAGACCCAAAAGCATTGATAGCAGACACTAGTTTTAGGGAAGTATGTGTATCTATTTATATAATTTGCAGTTTTTAAAGGTGTTGAATACAGCTTATTTCTCTCCTTCAATTTAAGGTCATTTTGAGTGCCCTCCTTATAATTCAGCTACAATAAGGAGTATATATCATGTGAGAAATGTTGAAGTGTATAAATTAAAACAGGTATGTAAAAAGTACAATACGGCAGGCTTGAAAAAATGTTAAAGTAATTCTGTACCAAAATGTGTTTGATCATTTTGGTATATTACTTCCAAGAAGAGCATAGTTCAGTATTTCTAAAATTTGGATTTGAGTTGTGTTTAGGAGGTTCACAGATGAACATTAAAAAATTCTTATGGTAATAAATTTATTTTAGCGAGTAAAAATAAAACATTCAACTCATGATTTCAGATATTATTACGGTAGGGCTAAAAATATATTGGAATAAAGTGATTCTTTAAAGAAAATATTAGAATTTTTTTTTTAAAGAATGGTATTAAATAGAAAATAAATAATAGTAGAGATGATAGAAGGTATGGGAAAACCGTGAAAGTGGTCTCTAAAAACACTGACTCAGCTGGAGAATAGGTGAAGCTAGGTTTTTGTTTGAGAACCATTTCAGTGCCTGACACTGGGCAGTTTTCACATGAGATATTTCATATCATTGCCACTCAAATTCTGTCAGATTAAGAATGAGAGGCCAAGGCTCAGATAGATAAGCAACCTGTCCAAGATCTCCCAAGTAGTTAAGTGGCAGAGCCTGTCTGAGAGAACTCAGGCCCTTCCCACCATAGCACACAGCCTCTGGGAGCATAAGGATGCTTGCAGGCATTCGATGCCTACTCATAGCAGTTCCTTACTTTGAATGCTTTTTCCTTTTCACCAGTCTAAATCCTACTAGTCCTTGAAGACCCAGGTTAGATACTACTTCCCAACCAGTGTTCTAGTTTAAAGTCATTATGTTTCACTGAAAAAAATTTTTTAATCCTCACCCGAGGATATAGTTTACTGATTTTTTTTTTTTTTTAAGAGTGAAAGAGAAACATGAATCGGTTGCCTTCTGTACTCGCCCTGACCCAGGATCGAACCTGCCACTTAGATTTGTTCCCTGATGGGGAATTGAACCGGTAACCTTTCCAACCAACTGAGCCACACCGTCCAGGGCTTAACTGAATTTTCATTGCACATATTGCCCTGACCAGTTAGTCATCTCTTTCTTATAGTTTGTATTGTCTTGAACACTTAAGTTATTTACATTTAGTTTTCCAAGTGTGGGATGAGTAAAGTATGGAGTGTATTTTGTGTTCCCCATGAAGACAACAGCCACCTTAAATACTTCTAATATGACTTATATAGCAAACAGAGTATTTTTGGTATATACTATGTGAGTCCATTAGAAAAAAAAGTGGACTATATCTTTAGGTTTACCGTATCATTTACATTAGATGTCTTCTCTGGATCATAAAACATGGTTTCTTTACCAAAAAGGGAAAAGCACAATGGCTATTACATATTTTAGAAACTGAATGTAAAAGACCATAGCTGATTAGCAGTCTAATCAAAGTGTGTCTGCTGACCTGCCTTGCTGGAAAATAAGGATGATTTGTGAGGCGGGGAGAAAGCTGTTTCTTTTTGCCTATGTGAGTGAATAGGTTAGTACTTCTGTGACTTCCTTCCATAAAGAGCCTTAGAATGAGTTACACAAAAATCCAGAGGTCTAAGTGGGTAAATGGTATGTGTCAGGGGAGAGAAGGAAGGGAGTTTTGCTTGTGGTTAATCTGTTTTTAAGAGTTTTCTTTTTCTGTTAAAGCTGAAGCAGCCTATGGACATATTCTTATCTCATGATTGGCCAAGAAGTATATACCATTATGGAAATAAGAAGCAACTTCTTAAGACTAAATCTTTTTTCCGACAAGAAGTGGAAAATAACACCTTAGGAAGTCCTGCTGCCTCAGAGCTCCTAGAGCACTTAAAACCAACTTACTGGTTTTCCGCACACCTTCATGTGAAGTTTGCAGCCTTGATGCAGCATCAGGTAGAAAACACAGTATTTATTCTTGCATTTAACAAACACTTATTGAACATTAGTGGGCTACTCACTGTTGAAACAGTTGTAAAGTTAGAGAAAGAAATGAAAGATAGCCGAGACCGGTTTGGCTCAGTGGATAGAGCGTCGGCCTGCGGACTGAAGGGTCCCAGGTTCGATTCCGGTCAGGGGCGTGTACCTGGGTTGCGGGCACGTCCCCAGTAGGGGATGTGCAGGAGGCAGCTGGTCGATGTTTCTCTCTCATCGATGTTTCTGACTCTCTATCTCTCTCCCTTCCTCTCTGTGGAAAATCAATAAAATATATTTAAAAAAAAAAAAAAAAAAAGAAATGAAAGATAACTTCCAGAATCCAGTGGGGGAAGGGATAAGTAAGCAGGCAATGATAAAATAGTGTAATAAGTTTGTGACAAAACGTCCTAGGGTACTGGGAGCACCTACGCCGGACTATGTGGACAAAGAGATGAAGCAAGAGAAGCTTTTCCAAAGGAATTGATGGTGCAGGAAGGAGTAGATATGAGGGTAATCTATGAGAGGGACCAATGTGTGCGAAGGCCAGAGGCTGAGAACAGGGTGCCTTTGGGGGACTGCAGCTCGCTCCCATGGCGGAGGGTAGACGCTGGGGCACGATCATAGTGCCATGCTCTGGAGTTTGGGTTTTAACCAGAGGTAATGGGGAAAGTTGGAGAGTGATGAAATACAGATTTTCATTTTTAAAGATTAGTTTCGCTACAGTTTTGCAGATGGATTGGAGTGATATAAAATAGGAGGCACAGGAGGTTCTTTAATCAAAAGATGAGATGGTAACTTAAGGCAAAGAAGGAACACAGAGAATAAAGCAGAGTCTAGAGAGATTTTGGAAGTAGAATCATCAGGATTTGGTGATGGAGGGAGGAGGGAATCTAGGATGAGTCTAAGTTTGCCTTGGGTAATTGCATGGTATAGTGTTTGATAGAAGGTAGAGAATAAATATATACCTATGATTAAGTTTTTATGGAAATATGTGGTTCTTTCTTTCACCTCTGATTCAGACTAAACTCTGACTTCCCCATAAAGTGTTTCAGAGGGAAAACATTTAGAAGATGCTTGGTTAACAAAGTTAGGAGTTCTTGGAGGCTTCTATAGGATTTCTGAGTCTTGAACGTACTGATTAATGGGCATTGCCTTACTCCAAGAGTGCAGTGTGGTTTACAGTGCTTCCCGAACTTGCTTGACCAAACACTTTTCAGTGGTAGAGGTCCACTTTAGCTGTGTTCCTCAAGGAGACCAGGTTACTCCTTTCATTTTCCCAAGTCCAAGTCATCTGTTTTTATATCAGGCGTCTTTTTTTTAATTTTATTGATTTCAGAGAGGAAGGGAGAGGGATATAGAAACATCAATGATGAGAGATAATCATCGATTGGCTGCCTCCTGTATGTCCCCCACTGGAGATCAAGCCCGCAACCTGGGCATGTGCCTTGCCTGGGAATCAGACTGTGACCTCCTGGTTCATAGATCAATGCTCAACCATTGAGCCTCGCCAGTTGGGTTCAATTGCCTTTCCACATCTGTGTTACTCTTTTCTGTGTCTTAGGGCTCCTGACATGCTTGGCTTCTTATTGAAGTATCTGATTTTCTACTTTTCCCCACTGCGTCTTCTGCTGTCAGCCAGGGACTTTTACCTCTGTATTAACAACATATTCGATCCCTTTTTCTTGGCTCCTCAGCCTCCTCTGACTTTCCTAGTGTTCTCTTTTAGCCCCTTCACCAGCCCCAAAGATCACCTTTCTTCAGAACTGCCCTGCAGCCAAGATCTATGTAACCTCTGTGCCTTCCACCTCTCTGAGTCCCTCTTCAGCACTGAAGTTTGATACCTGGTCCACAGCAGGACATCCCATAGCTTGTTTCCTTGTATTTTTTCCTCCAGGTGCCTTACTGCTTTTTTACTGTTTTTACTATGACCTTGTTAGTGACCCCTTCCATATTTCTGTCTGACAATTCACTTTTCGAAAAATAGCTTTATTGGTGCCCTGGACAGTGGTGAGAGCGTCGGTCTGCACACTGAAGGGTTGCTGGTTCAATCCTCGACCCTGGTCGAGGCAAGTGCAGGAAGCAACCAGTCGATGTATCTCTCTCACATCCATATTTTTCTCTCTCCTCCCCCTCCCTTCCTCCCTCCCACTCTCTAAAAATCAATGGGAAAAATATCCTTGGGTGAGGATTAACAACAAAAAGCTTTATTGGTGTATAATTTACATAAAATTCAATCAAGTGTATAATTCAGTGTGTGTTCACACATCACATAATCCAGTTTTTGAATATTTCCATCCTCTGAAAAGATCCTTTGTGTGTGTGTGTGTGTGTGTGTGTGTGTGTGTGTGTTTGATGTCATTCCTTGTTCTCATTCTCAGCCCAGGCAACCACTAATCTGCTTTGTGTCTCTATGGCTTTGCCCTTTCTGAACCTTTCATATAAATGTAATCATTAATATATAGTCTTTGGTATCTGGCTTCTATTTGCTTGTTTTTGAGGTTCACTTATGTTATAGCATCTATCTGTGTTTTTATTTTTATTGTTGAATAGTATAGTATTTCATTCTATAGATACATCGCATCTAACTTTGATGTTGTATCTAAGAAATCTTTGCCTAACTCAAGGTAGTGACGATTTTTCTTCCATGATTTCTTCTAAAAATTGTGATACATCGCATCTAACTTTGATGTTGTATCTAAGAAATCTTTGCCTAACTCAAGGTAGTGACGATTTTTCTTCCATGATTTCTTCTAAAAATTGTGTACTTTTAACTCTGCCAATTTATTTTTAAGCTCTTCTGTTATCTTTAATCCTTTTGTTATATGCCTTAATATATGTGTTCAATGCTTTGATTTAACATTATCATCATCACCATTAGTTTCTACTTTGACTTGTGTAAGAATGTAAGACATGAAAGCCAAAGAGTTTAAGTGCCCATTGTTGCACAAGTGAGTGTAGAACTAACTTGCTTTGAAAAAGTAACAGTTGTTCCTTTGACACACAACTTTGTGTAACAAAGATTGTTTCCATCCTATCCAATGTATGAATTATCTGTGATGTTTTAACATTCTTTCTTAAATCATGGTTTAGGCTAAGGATGAAGGAGAGACTGCCAAAGCAACCAAATTTTTAGCCTTGGACAAATGCTTACCACATAGAGACTTTCTTCAGGTAAGAAGAAAATGAAATAACTTTTCAATATAGTTTTACTCTTCCAATGATTAAGAAAACATCTTAATTTTTGTTTTCTAAACTATTAATTTGTGTATTTTGTAATTTATATAGTCTGAGAATTCTTTGGGAATATTTACATTAATATTTTTAGTCTACTAAATTCCTTTTAACTTTTATTGTTACATTGAAATCCTTAGATATTAAAAATAGATATGTATTTGTTAAAATTACCAATTTGTTCTTATAGGTAATAGAAATAGATCATGACCCCAGTGCTCCTGATTACTTGGAGTATGATATTGAATGGCTCGCTATTCTCAGGGCTACAAACAATCTTATTAATGTAACTGCGCGCCTGTGGAATATGCCTGAAAATAATGGCCTGCATACAAGGTAAGCCTGACCTTTTTAGGACTTGCTCTCACTATGCTTGCAAGGTTTTTGTGGTCGCCCCCCTCTTTTTTTAATTAAGAAAAAAAATAAAACCCTGTTAAATGAGTGTAAGAATAATTCATGGTTTACAGGAAAATGGATTGTTGAGTACCAACCCAAATAAGTGTATAAGTGATTAAGTATGCACAAAACTAATATGGTGGAGATTTGGTTCACATTAAAACAACTTATACTTGCTTTAGGTTGTATAGACAGCTTTTCTTATGAATTGTTTTTATTTTGAAATGGTCCTTTGTTAAATTAACTGTAATTTTACTAAATGGAATTTAGATTATCGTTTATTTTTTATCCTTGTACCTGAAGTTCATAGTTAGATTTCATAATTTGTTGTCTGGGGCCAATGACGTATAAAAGACCATTGTTTTGGACTTTTATAGGTGGGATTATAGTCCAACAGAAGAAGCTATGAATGAAGTATTGGAAACATTGAATCATGACCTCAAAGTTCCATTTAACTTTAGCGTGACGGCTGCTTGTCATGACCCAAGCAAGCCACAGACACAAGTGCAGTTGGTTCACAGGATCAACCCTCAGACTACTGAGTTTTGTGCCAAACTTGGCATCACAGACATTAATGTCAGTCTTCAGAAGGCCAAGGAAGAACACCACTTGTGTGGTGAATATGAAGAGCAGGAGGAAGGGGGCAGTAATGACTCTGGAGAAGAGCCCAGTGAATATAACACAGACACCTCTGCCCTGTCCTCTACTAATCCAGATGAAATAGTGTTAGAGGAAGAAGAGGAAGAGGAAGAGGAAGATAGTTTTGTAAGTGCACATAGTGACCTGAATACAACATCCCTAGAACCTTCTTCTGACCTGGCCTCTGACTTTTCTGCAAGCTTCTCTGATGTCAGGATCCTGCCAGGTTCCATGTTTGTTTCTTCTGATGACACATCGGGTTCCCCAGGTAGCGGAGAGGGGAAACCTGGCGAGGCTGTGGAGTCTGGAGATGGGAAGGACTTAACCAGAGCACCAGGGAAGAGGCTGAGTGATGAGTCTGTACCTGAACAAAGAAAGAAAATTAAGAGGAGGAATCAAGCCATCTATGCTGCAGAGGATGACGATGCAGCATGAGACAGTTTATTGTCTTGCATACAGATATGTGATGTTTAAGACCATATTTTTAGAGTTGGGTTTTTTGACTCAAGACTTAACTTTGTAATAATGAAGTTATATAGAGAATTGACTTTGCCCTTAGGCCCTTGTATATTTCATATACAAACATATTAAAATTTCATCTCTTTACTAGATTGAGTACCCTTACTTTAAAGACAGATACTACTCACTTTCATTGTTTTCAACACAAACTTGAAAACACATGGAAGGAGGTTAAAGAGAAGACGCTTACAGTGGGGCTTCTGTCTTAGCTGGGGCTGCTATAACAAAATACCGCGGACGGATGGCTTAATCAACAGAAACCTATTGCTCGCAGTTCTGGAACTGGAAAGTCCAAGATCAAGGTGAAGATGGGTTCCTGGAGAGGACTCTCTTTCTGGTTTGTAGATAGCTGCCTTCCTACTGGGTCCTCCCCTGGCCTTTCCGAGGTGAATGCTTGTGGAGAGAGAGAGAGGGATCTTTGTTTTCCCCTCTTGTAAGAATGCCCCCTTCGTGACCTCATCTAAACCTGATGACCTCAGAAAGGCCTCCAAATACCATTACCTTGGGGGTTAGGGCTTCATTCTCCCAAATGTGGTGGTGGGGGCACAAACATTCAGTCCACAACCATTTCTTTCAGCCACATCGGGTACTGCTCATTCTCACAGCCAGTCGGTTTTTACAAAGTTCCCTGCCATGTGGACACATGGCACAGGTGGCTCTAAGATGTTTCCAGTTCCTTACAGAACAAAGAGACTAAACACCGACTTACAGAGCTTGAAAGCAAAGCTTGTTCACACAGCCCTCCGCTCCGACTGGAGCCACTGTTCAGTGTATGCATCTTGCAGACCCTGTTCTTCAGCCTGAAAGGGTGGTGTCTGCACAACTGCTGCACTGAGAACAACTGTTTTCCCTTATCTCCCTGCCCTTACCCCCATCCCTTCCTTTATCTGTAAGTAAACTTAAAAAAGGGGAAAATGACACGTGTTAGCACAGTAATTTCCAGGACAAACCCAGAAATACCTTCCTGATCGCTATGCAAGGTTTTGTACACAGGAGCATGTTTGACTGGTAAGGCTGAGTGGAGAACAAAAGCATTATTGTCAGAAATGCAAGGCTAGAACCATTGGACACGCAGAACAGTTTAAAATATCGTCATGGGACCAGGGAATTTTATGCTGGCATGAATTCACAGATTTTCAATAAAAAAAAATTTGTTTTTCAGGATTTAATGTTGATAATGTCACTTGTTCCGTTATTCCCACATGGGTTCCCAAGTGTTAGGCTGGGAACTTATTCTCTCTCACTCTGCAGTGAACTGTCTCTGTTCATGCACCTAAACCCAGGTCTCTAGTCTTCATTCGAGCTTCAGAACAGTGATGAAAGGAATTGGCAATGGTTTTATTTTTTTGTTAATTTTGTTTTTGTTTGTTTTTTAAATATACCTTTATTGATTTCACAGAGGAAGGGAGAGGGAAAGAGAGAAACATCAATGATGAGAGAGAATCATAGATCGGCTGCCTCCTGCACACCCCCCACTGGGGATGGAGCCCGCAACCCAGGCATGCACCCCGACCAAGAGCCAATGTATTTTTTTAAATTAAAATTCATTGTTTAGAGAGAGAGAAAAAGGGAGGCAGGGAGAGAGAAACATGGATTTGTTGTTTTACTTATTTATGAATTCATTGGTGGATTCTTGTATGTGCCCTGACCGGGGATCAAATCTACAACCTTGGCGTATCACGAGGATGCTCTAACCATCTGACTACCAGCCAAGGCAGAAATTGACAATGTTGATAAGATATCACTCTGTATTGGTTTTGCACTGTTAATAGCTGAATGCTTTAACAAGTTTATCAGTCCCACTTGATTAACAAATATGTTAAAAGCCGGAACTGTGGTTCCAAGGGCTCCAAAGTAAATAGGGCAAGTATTGTTGGCTCGAATATTTCCTTCTTACAATAAATCAAGAGTTCAAAGAAGCTACAGAATTAAGAGGTGCACTTTTCACGTGTAATTCAGTTCAACAAACATTTCGTGTTAAAATTCCTTTAATTTCCTTCTTGATACAGTGAGTCCTTTATAGCCAAGGGAGTGTGGGCCCAAACCTTGAAGTTTTCCCGGTTGAGTTTATCAGAGGTTATCCGTGGGGCTGGGGGGTTGGGGGAAATCTCAGCTCTGATTCCAAGGTCTTCCTCCCTGTACCAACTTTTCTTCAGACTAGCTCCGAACATCCACAGAAGAGTATTGTAAAATAAAGACAATACTGGGATAATATTGAATGTAAAAAAACCCACTGGATTCAGAGGTTTTGCCCTCATCCTGGGTGGGGCTACATCACTCCACCGTTGCTAAGGCCTCATCAGTCAGTAGCAGTTTCCCAGGCTCCACAGTCCACTGCATTGACCAGCTCTGGCTCACATTGGGGTGGAGGAAGCAGGAACTCTCACAGGAGGCCAAAGCTTTTAGGAAAGGAGACGACATCGGGATGCATATGTGGCTTTCATCAGCGTATCCAGACCCACCCATTACACATATCACTCAGATCTCTCCCTGGGGTTGCTTGGCTGGTCGGAGCAAGCCTGCCATTGTGTGGGGCAGACATTTGGAGGAATTTTGAACAGAGTTCTTGTCATAGAGCATCAAAGAGCAGGGACATTCCTTCGGACAGGGAATGTGCATCAGTGGCACTCAGGGCAAAGGGACTGGTGCAGGGTATGGCCCCAGGGTCCCCAAAGCCCATCCTGGGACCTCTAGGGACCTGTGGAGTCCAGGTTAGGAGCTGCTGCTGTGGCATCTACCCACACAAAGTCCGTGTGATACAGGCCAGATAAGGCAGAAAGGGGAGCAGAAGGAAGGGAAGGCAGTTCTGTTCCCACCAGAGGGAAGGCTAAAGGGATGATCTGGGAGCCCTGGGAGTTCCTGGCAGAGTGGCTCAGGTGACAGGAGGCCTCTGCAGAAACACTCAGGAAGGATCAGGTTCACACCAGAGCACCCAGGGGGAACTGTGGCTACCTGCTCATGGCTGAGAGAAGGCTCTGAGTTGGAGATAGGCGACTCCCTGAATGAGGATAACTACCTACTCATGCCAGGAGCACTGGGGCACAGACCACAGGACAGCGACACTATCTTTGGAGATGTGGGGGTTGCCACGTCAGTGGAGGGTGATGAACCTGACCTTGTGAGGCTTGGAGGAAGCTGTACCTCACACGGGGGGCCTCAGGGCAAAGGATCCTTCCTGAAGCCACTGTAACTGAAATTGGCTAATAAATTCTGGTTCCAAATCATCAGGACCTTGGATTCCCGGGGCTGTCCACTGCTTATTGGTGGTGATGAACTTTCTTTTCTTTTACTCAAATCTGTGTTTGCAAAGTTTGGCCCAAATTACAGGGTCGTCTGATGATGAAACTTTCCCAAGGCTCTGCTCATGATTTGGATGGAAACTAAACTGCTTAGGTGCAATATCTTTTAGCTTCAGGGTTATATTCAACTTTCTCCAGATGAAGTCGTCACCCTATAACCCCCTCCCCTTGATAAATCCACAAATAGGCAGGATTAGTGTGTGGGTCACCTGAAAAATTGTGCGAAGCCTTTATTGTCCCCAAGTCTCTGTGTTTGGGGGAACTTACTAAAGGGAGGAGCTTTCTGAGAACTCGTGTTTAGTGTTAATCTTCGGCCAATGATTTACTTCCCTCAGTAGTTGAGTTGGAAGATTAGGTGGTGATTTATCAAAGAGTATAGCAGGAAAAACTTGTGGTCATTGCTAAGACTTCAGACAGTGGCTAACGGCAAGTTTCAGGCTAGAAGGTAAGCTCTGATTCACTGGCTTTGTGTTTTCTAAAAGAGTCATATGGAATGTGAAAAATAGACCATCGAAAAAGTGAAATCTTTGCTCTCCTGGAGTTAGAGCTAATGTTTATGGAGAAGGGGGTCCTAGAGGGACAGGCAAGCCCGAGTTAGAGGCATGGGTCTGCTAACTGTGTGATCTTGGCAAGTTCTTTAACTCTAGACTTCAGTTTGCTTCCCTGGTTAATTTTCTTCTTAGTTCTATTAGTTTCTTAGTAACTTATCTTGAATTTTTTTAGGTGGGCAATCATATTTTCTACAACTAGTGATGTTGTTGCCTCATCCTTTCTAGAATTCATAGCAGACATTCTTTTCTCTTGTTTTATTGCCTTGGTTAGACTTAGCAGAGGATCATTGATCGGCTGCCTCCTGCACGCCTTCTGTTGAACAGAATTGTATCCTGTTCTTGGCATCTATTCACCAAAATGATCATGCAGCTTTTCTTCTTTAATCTATAAGCTAGTGCATGTGATTAATAGTTTTTCTGTTAATGAATGATTCCCCCCCCCCTATTTTGAATCACCCTAAATTTCCCAGTTAAACTCCAGTTAATACATTTTTCTTTTGAATATTGCATGACTTGATTTGCTTATGTTTCATTTGGGATTTAAGCTTGGAAGCGATACTCCTTTGTTGTTTCTGCGTGTGCTATCTTTACCCGGTTTTGTGGATGTGCTTTTTAATGAATTGTGTTGACTTAAAGGAGCGTCCAGAAGGGAGACGTGGACATGCTGAAGGAGCTCCAGCTCTCCCTGTTGGTCATCCTGCTGCTCTCCTGTGGCTTCCTCTACCAGCTCACCCTGAAGCCCAGCTGCCTCTTCTCCTGTCTGCCCCCCCACAAGTCCCAGCAGGGGCCGGAAGCCCTTCTGGGCAAGGGACGCAGCATTGTGTTCCTAGAGACCTCTGAGAGGACGGAGCCGTCCCCGCTGGTCTCCTGCGCTGTGGAGTCCGCTGCCAAGGTTTATCCTGAGCAGCCGGTGGTGTTCTTCATGAAGGGTCTCAGCAGCTCCATGCAGCTGCCCCCAAACTCCACGAACCCAGCCTTTTCCCTCCTCTCAGCAATAGACAACGTTTTCCTCATCCCTTTGGATATGAAAAGCCTGTTTGAAGACACTCCATTGTCTTCATGGTACACTCAAGTAAGTGTTCAGAGAATCTTAGAATGCCCATGTTGGGAGGGACCACAGACAGCCTACTCATTTTATAGATGGGTAAACTGAGGGTAAGGACTCAGTGTGAGAGACAGGACTAGAACCCAGAGCCTTTAACTCTTTTATTATTTTTTTTTTTAAAAATATGTTTTTATTGACTTTTAGAGAGAAGAAGAGGGATGAGAGAGAGAGAGAGAGACTTCAATGATGAGAGAGGATCATTGATCAGCTGCCTCCTGCATGCCTCCTACTGGGGATTGAGCCCACAACCCAGGCATGTGCTCTGCCTGGAATGGAACCGTGACCTCCTGGTTCAACCACTGCACCACACCAGTTGGGCAGATCCTTTAACTCTTGCCTGGGTTGAGCTCTGATTCAAGTAATTGGGAGAGACCATAAGTTACTTACCTTTTCCTGTTGTCTTTTGTTTCTGGCTTTCTATCTTAGTGTCTAGGTTCCGTTTGAGGCTATTCTTAACGGAATGAGTTTCTGTGTTTTTTCTAGCTGTGGATACTCCTTATTTTTCCCTGCCAGTTTTAAACCCATCCATGTTAAACTATTTTTGCACCTTAAGGGGAAACTAGGCAAGATTTCACATGAAAATTATGTAAATAGAAAATTCACAATTGATCAGGTGGGGTGCTGCTGTATAAGATTGGGTATATTAAGATTCTAGAGGCCCGATGCATGAAATTTGTGCATGGGTAGGGTCCCTAGGCCTGGTCAGTGATCAGGGCTGATCTGTGAGGTGACTGGAAGGGCGATCGGGGGGCCCCTGCTGGTACCCACCTTGGCTGGCCTGGGGCCTGCAGGCTGGAGGCAGCTCCTGCATTGAGCATCTGCCCCCTGGTGGTCAGTGTGCATCATGTGACTGGTCGTTCTGTTGTTCGGTCGATTTGCATATTAGGCTTTTATTATATAGGATGATCAAGAAACTCCTGGAAATCTCAGAATTTTGTAATCTTCATCTTAGTAAAATAGCAGAATAAGGAAATAATATTTCAATTAAGTATTTCTCTCATGAGGACCCACAATCAAGTAATGTTTAAGGAACTTATAGTAGAACCATTCAATGAGTCCATTATGGAGCTTTAAACTGTGCCACCTTATGAAGACTACAACATGGAATTAAATACTCTTGCATTATAATGTAAGATTACTTTAGCTATGCAACTCCCCTCCCCCAATCTATTTGGAAGAAAAAGACCTGATGAAAAAAAAACAACACACACAGTAATGGCAGGTGTTTTAGTATGAATTGGGAGTGAATTCAGTGATGAGAATATGTTAATTTTATAAAATCATTTTTTAAAAAGTTACTAAAATATGACATAAAAATAATAACATTTGCTTACTATATAAAGTCCTATCTAAGCGCTAATCATAGGCTAGCTAGACCAAATGTCAGAAAGTGTTTTCTTCTTAAAGGGCCAGAAAGTCAGTACTTTAGGTTTTGCAGGCCAAGAGGCAGGATTGAGGCCATTTGTGAAGGTACTTGTGTTGGTTTCCTAAGGCTGGGTAATAAAATGCTACACACTTGGTGACTTAAGAGAACAGAACAGTTGTGGAGGCCAGAGATCCCAAACCAGTATCACTGGGTGGGTTTCAAGGTGCTGGCAGGGCCCATTCCCCTAGTGTGGGGTGGGGGGCTCTAGAAAACACTCCTTCCTGTGGAGCTGGGCACTCCAGCCTCTGCCCCCATCTTCACTTCCCCTTTCGTGTGCGTGTGTGTGTGTGTGTGTGCGTGTGTGTGCGTGCGTGTGTGTGTGTGCGTGCGTGAACTCTCCATCAGCCTTAGTATAAAGGACGCTTGTGATTGCATTTAGGATCCGTCAGGATATTCCAGGATAGTCTCTCCATCTCAACATCCTCAATGTATCACAGCTGCAAAGACCCCTTTCTCCATGAGGCAACAGCTATAGGTTCCAGGGCTTAGGGCCCGATATCGTCGTGTGGCCATTATTCAGCCACTACAGTCCTCGTTTACAAAAGAGGAAAACTGCCACCTGCCTCGTTCCTGGGGCTTTCCTGGGTGGGTTTTCTGAGTGAAGGACACACCTGCCCCTGGTTGTTGTCAGCAAGACAGATTTTGTAGACCAAGCGACAGGCCCGAGTGTGTGTGTGTGTGTGTGTGTGTGTGTGTGTGTGTGTGTGTGTGTAGGGGGAGGAAGGGGTAAAGGCAGTTGGTCAGTTTCACTCTTGCCCCATGTGACTTTACTAGTAGATCCCAGCGCTCCTATCTCTCCCCCTGAAGAGCCAGGAAATCTCAACTTGGAGCCCTGAGCAGGAGGCGGAGCGACTGAGGTGTCATCTGCAGTTGCCAGCACAGGGTTTCTAACAAATAGGTGACGACTAGCGTCCCCTGGGCAGCGGTAGGGCAGGCGCTGGGCAGGGGCTGGGAGTGGAGAGGGACCAGGTGAAGGGCACATGCAGGCTGGGTCCCTGCGCGCTCAGTGCTCTGCCGCTAGAGGGCGCTCCAGGACTGTAAAGACCAGGCAGCCTGCTGGCTCTGGTCCCCGCCTCCCCACACCTGGGCCCAACTAACATTACCCAAACTCCTTGGGAAGAGAAATCTCTGCTCAAATTGTTCTGGGAGATGCTACATTCATTTTTCACAAACTAGTCATACACCAGGGCTAGCGTCTAGTGACCCTTGGTGGTGGTGGTGGTGGTAGTGGTGGTGGTGGTCGGGGGGGGCTGGTGTGGTTTGTCCTGGCCCAGTAAGACCACCTCAGGATAGCTGGGGCCAGCTATTAGGGATGACCCAATGTGCCAGGGCAGCTGGGGAGGGGCAGCAGGCCGCGCTTCCCAAAAATCTATTTGCCAAAAGCCCAATTTTGCCTGGCCTCTTGCTGTGACGCCCCCTCCCCCTCCCCCCGCGGGGGCTGATTTGCACCTGCTCCTGCAGATCAACGCCAGTGCCGAGAGAAACTGGCTCCACGTCAGCTCCGATGCGTCCCGCCTGGCCATCATCTGGAAGTACGGGGGCGTCTACATGGACACGGATATCATCTCCATCAGGCCCATCCCTGCCGAGAACTTCCTGGCCGCGCAGGCTTCCCGGTACTCCAGTAACGGGGTGTTCGGGTTCCTCCCCCGCCACGCCTTCCTGTGGCAGTGCATGGAGAACTTCGTCGAGCACTACAACTCATACATCTGGGGCAACCAGGGTCCCGACCTGATGACGAGGATGCTGAGAGTGTGGTGCAAGCTGGAGGACTTCCAGGAGTTGAGCGACCTGCGGTGCTTGAACGTGTCCTTTCTGCACCCCCAAAGGTTTTACCCCATCTCCTACCCTGAGTGGAGGCGCTACTACGAAGTGTGGAGCCCAGAGCCGAGCTTCAATGACTCCTACGCCCTGCACCTGTGGAACTACATGAACCAGGAAGGGAAGGGTGTGGTGAGAGGCAGCAACACGCTGGTGGAAAACCTCTACCGCAAGCACTGTCCCAGGACTTACAGGGACCTGATTCGAGGCCCAGAGGGGTCGGTGGCTGGGGAGTCGGGCACAGGAAACAAATAGAGCCAAGTTTGTTGCTGCCACATCGTGGAACTAGATACACGCTTCTCCGGGGGCCTTACTTCCCCAGGGGCCTCGCTGCCCCCTGACCTCCACTTTCCCCAGGGGCTCAGTGATCTAGTCCTCTACCCACCCTCGGTATCCTCTGGACCTGGGACAGAGCCTGGCACACGGTGGGCACTCAAGAACTCTTGGCTGTATTGAATGTTGAACTCTGCCCAGGTAAGGGAAGGAGGTGAGGGTTACGTGCATGTCAGGTCTTGGTCAGCTGAGGATGCAGTCCTTTGCGTTTAGCCTTACCAGCAAAGTAGACCAGGGTGCATGCCAAGTCCACTTGCTCACAACAGCCGTGCAAAAGAGGGTGACCCATTTGCACAGGGGGAAATCGAGGCTGGTGGAAGTGGCAGTCACAAACAGCTACCTTCAGAGTTATTTTCTACACACGCCAGGGACACATGGGGACAGAGCTGCGAAGCAAATGCTCTCAGCCCCAGATTTCACACTGGGCTGCACTCAGGGGACACGCACCGACTGCCAGGCCCCAGGCTGAGCCTAGAGGTGCTTTAGCTAAGTTGTGTCTCATGATGACCCTGCTCGGTAGAGTTTATTTTCCCCGCTTTACAGAGAGGTTAAGTGACTTTCCCAGGGGCACACAGCTTGGGAATGTGGAATGTAAATGAATCTTTGACTCCAAATCCTAGGCTCTTCCCTCCCCTGCAGGGGGTAGTAGGAACCCCTGGAGAGATAAGCATGCCTAGGTCCTGGTCCTGCCCCAGTGACATTTTTAGCATTTAGAAACTTGTGATAAAATATACATACCATAACATTTGCCATTTTAACCGTTTTAAAGTGTACAATTCAGTGGCACTAAGTATATTCACATTGTTGTGCAACCATCGCCACCATCCATCTCCAGAACTTTTTTATCTTCCCAGAGTGAAATTCTGTCCCCATGAAACACTAACTCCTCCTTCCCTATCTCCCCCCACCCCCTCTCAGCCCTGGTAACCGCTACTGTATTTTCTGGAATATCTCTATGTATGTGACTATTCTAGTTATGATGTACAGGTGAAATCATGTAAATATTTGTCCTTTTGTGTCTGGCTTATGTCTCTTAGCATAATATTTTCAAGGTTCATGTTGTAACATCTATCAGAATTCCATTGTTTTAAAGGAAATTCTATTCCATTGTATGTATGATGGGCCACATTTTTAATCCATTCATATGTGGAGGGGCACTTGGGTTGCTTTCACCTTTTGGCTATTGTGAACAATGCTGTTAGGAACTTGTATGTGCAAAATTTGAGTTTCTGCTTTCAGTTCTTTTGAGTATACACCCAATAATGGAACTGCTGGACCATATTTTAATTCTATGTGTAATTTTTTGAGGAATCACCATTCCCCCCCCCCTTTTTTTTTTACAGCATCTGTATCATTTTTTACTCCCACCAGCAATGCATGGGCTTCCAGTTTCTCCACATTCTCACCAACACATGTTCCCACAGGCTTTTGCTTTGGCTGCCCCAAGATACAGAGCCTGGCAGATTGACACTGGGGTGGGAGAAAGGCCTTACAAAAATTCCCCGAAACCTGAGTCTCAGCAAAGCAAGGGCTGGCTATGGAAAGGGGTCAGGAGAGAACAGTTCTTTGGTCCTGGGCTTCACAGCTAGATGCACAGGACAGGCCACTGGCTTAGGGATGGTGGTGATAGGGTAGTTGACAGCTGACCAGGCCTGGGACTCACCCAAGGGACTAGTGTGGGACAGCTAGAAACCAGGAAGATCCCTTTAGATTAGGGCCAGTGAGCTGCGTGTCTGTGTGTGCGCCTGTGTGTGTGTGTGTGTCTGTGTGTGCGCCTGCAGCAGCACATCCAGCCTCCTGCTCCAGGTGGTGGCCTCTCAGCAAGGCCTGGGAGCCATTCACATGGGTCCTGGGTCCTGGGTTTTCCTAAGGGATTAAACCCAGCAATCCCTCCTTCCCCATCCGATAGATCTAAAAATAGCTGGGCGGGGGGGAGGGGGGGATGATTGGGGAAAGGCTCCACCCCTCTTTATCACGGGGTGGGGTGCCTGTCTGGAGATCCTGATTGGTTGGAGACCCTAGGCCTCTAGTGGCTGGGGAAGAGAGGTTCTCTTGTCCCTGGCCTGGCACATGGCAGCACTGAGGTGGCCAGGTGGCTCTGTCCCTGCCCCCAAGAGCACCAGCATTCCCAAGGCTGGGGAAGCATCCGGGCCTGCAGGGCGGTGAGGATTCTGGCAAAGGCCTGGGGCTGTTGGGGGCAGTTCAGGAAACCTGGAGGCGGGGCCAGGCGGAGAAACAGAGCTGGTACCTCTGGAACGCTACCACTCTCCTGTCTTCTGGGACCCTCAGCTGAGCCAAGGTGCATGGGAAAACTATGCCAGGACAGAAACAGGTAGGGAAAATCCTTGCAGTCCCAGCCATCGGTGCCAGGGGTGGCAGGAAGCTAAACAGCTGCTCCAGGCTCCTGTAGGACTCCCGCCCCGGAGCTGGGGACCTGAACCTGGGCTTGGCCTCCAGAGGCCTGGCTTGGCTCTTCACCCTCTGCTCCTGAGGTTTGCTCTGAACCAAGGTACCCCAGAGAGGAGTGGAAATGACTGAGTCCCCAGGAGTGGGCTTCCCAGAGAGAAGAGCTTTGGATTTTTCCTTTTTTTAAAAAGTAAAGCGATGTGGGGTGGCTTAGTGCTTTAAGTGCTGTAGGTAAAGGGGGCTCTTTTAGTAATGAGATGATTTAAAAACAAAGTCATTGGATCGCTGGTTCCGCCCCCTTGCCCTCTGGGCCTGGAGTTCAGCAGGAAGCAGCAAAGGGGTCTCCATTGAGGTGGCTGCAGATAAAGTCCAGGGGTGACTTGCTTAGTACAGGACAAGGGTCCAGAGGCCAGCAGAGGATGGCCCTGGAGGGCTGGGCAGGGGCTGCATTCACCCAGCCCTCCTCAGGCCGGGGGCCTGCTGCTCTCTCCCGGAGTTCGATTTCTACTGGACTTTGAAGAGAGGCCCGCTGTGTGAGGGGCTCTAGCTGTGGCCTTTCACACCCCCATCAGCAGACAAGGCGCTGCTCTCTCTCCTTTGTCACAAAGTCCCTAACACCTCCCCCTGGAGCTGGGGACTGGCCAGTGAGAACAGCCCCATTTAGAGGAGGTTGGTCCCTCAGTCAAGTGGCGCATAAGCGATCTTTTGTCTGTGTCTGTGAACACCAAGGCTCTGGAGACATCATCCTCATGTGGAAACTTGTTTGGATACCATCCAACCAGACACAATGGTCCCACGAAATTATACTCTTCATTTGGGAACAGAAAACGGAATTCGTTTGTGTAACTGAGGGGACCACTTGGCGGGCTGTTCTGAACCTCCTTACAGGCCCCTTGCAGCAAGGGCCAGTTCTGGTCAGCAGGGCTAACCTCCTGCAATGCCACCTGTCCCTAGGCCACCTGTCCTCTTACCTCTAGAGCAGCGGTTCTCAACCTGTGGGTCTCGACCCCTCTGGGGGTCGAACGACCCTTTCACAGGGGTCACCTAAGACCATCCTGCATATCAGATATTTATATTACAATTCATAACAGTAGCAAAATTACAGTTATGAAGTAGCAATGAAAATAATTTTATGGTTGGGGGTCACAACATGAGGAACTGTATTTAAAGGGCCAGAAGGTTGAGAACTATGGCTCTAGGGCAGCTGTGGGCAAACTACGGCCTGCAGGCCGGATCCAGCCCATTTGAAATGAATAAAACTAAAAAAAAAAGACAGTACCCTTTTATGTAATGATGTTTACTTTGAATTTATATTAGTTCACACAAACACTCCATCCATGCTTTTGTTCTGGCGGCCCTCCCCTCGTGTCAAAAAGTTTGCCCACCCCTAGGGGGAGGGTTCTATGGGGTCTGATGGCCTAGGTGCTGAAGAGGGAGAAACTCTCCCAAGAGGCAGTGGCTCCTCCCGGGGAGAGAAGACACCAGTACTCTATTCTAACTGCTTTTCTCGATGTGAGAAGCAGTGCTGGTTTCTAACAATTCTGAACCTGGGAAGACGGGTTATGTCAGTACGTGGTCTTTTTTCACTAAAATACTCCTGAGAGATGTCAGTTAGATCCGTACCTCCAATTTTCAATTTAAAATCCTTTTGTGGAACAAACGTAAAATGGCCTTTTGACCAAACTGTGGACACACAGTCTTTTAAAAAGATGTCCTTGTGGAGAGCGGCTACAGTGTTTGGACAGGTTCAAGCCTCGGACTGATGAGAGGGCACAGTCCTCTCGTGGCCACATGCACGTCCCAGCGTGGAGGGCAGAGCCCGCCCAGCACAATTATAGCCAACAGCTGTAGTTGTGAGCTTGAACCTACGGTCCGAACACGTGGCCCCACGTGCCTGAGTGATGTGGGCTTGATAGCGTTCAGGTGCATGTAGTTGAGTAGGATTGAAACCCACGAGAATGCTGTAAATATCTTGACCATCTTTGCCTGGTGGAATCTGCTATAAAATAAAGACACAGCTTGTAGTCCATGGCGCTGTCTCTCCATCTGGGAGCAGCGTCCCACTGAGCCCCAGCTTTCATTCTCCTGTCTGTCTTTCCTCCATCCTTCACCGCCCCCTCTCAGGGTCACTGAACCAGGCTGAGCTGGAGCGGCACATACGGCGCCCTGGCGCTGAGCATGCCGTGGCCGTGCTGGCTCGCCACGTGTCCTTAAAGCTGCCGGGAATGGAGGCCAGCTGGGAGGGAGAGCTGGCTGTGTGTCCGGCGGAATAAACTTCAGGTGGATGCCTGGCCATGTTGTGTTCGGGCCCTTCTTTGAAACCCCACCCAGGAGAGAACCAGAGGGCTGTGGGCCCCAGTGATGGTTCAGGGGGAGCCCCAAGGGAAGGACTCAGATCCTGAGACCAGTGGACAGAGAACAGCAGGCTTCAGGGCGGAGGAAGCCGAGTCTATAAAAATGCCCCTGAGGAGAGGCAGGTTGAAGAGGAAGCCCATTCACAGCAGCCTAGGTTCTGCCTGCAGAGAGCCCCGGGGTGAAAGGGCGGGCCTCAGAGTCAGGCACACAGTGTCCCTCCCACTCCAGGAATCTCATCGGACGGTTTTATTTTATTGGAAACATTTACAAATGGGAAATGCATTCCACCTCATTCCTAAAGCAGGAGAAATACATTAAGGTACACTACGTTAAGTCTCACTTCCACCCCCGTCTTTGTCCACCTGTCCCCTACACCCACCACTGTCCACAGGCGACCACTTGCAGTTTCTTTCATACTATCTAAGGGTTTCTTTATGCAAATACAAATAGCCCCATTTTCTCTCTGCTCTTACACCACAAGTAGCATGTTTGTCACCTTTTGTTTTCACCTAAAAACAACCATTTGATGACTTTTAAAAATTGAATTTATTGGGGTGACACTGAGGTAACTTCAATAATCAACTTTTCACGTAGGGATGGCATTGATTTCAAGTCTGTTGTATTTATATGGATGCAATCTGGGAAAGGCTTTTTACCCCCCCAAACTCTGAGCCCACAATTTATGGAAGAGAAGATGCTTTGGTCTTGCGGTTGGAACCTGGCAGAGGTGTGTAACTGAGATAAAGATTAAGCCCATTTCCAGCTTAGTAAAATCTAAAGTGAGATCGATACCATAATTGGTTGACTTATGTACTATACTCAAACTCTGAGTGCAGAAGGAATCTAAGTAGAGCAACCTCTAAAGTCAACAGAACCTCTTCCCTGTGCCTGAGGGGAGCTACAAAGATCCATCAAGTCCTCTCTAGACCAAGGAGGAAACGAATCACCCAGCACCTGCATGGCCCGCTCTACATCTGTGTTCATGCCTGTCGCTGTTACAGATGGTTAAAGCCTGTTTCCCTGCTGGAGGTAATGGCGCAGGCCCAATGTTTTAGAAAATGCAGCAGCCAGGCACCAGCATTTGCTACGTTCTGTGGGGAGGAGGATGTGTTTTTGACTCTTGTGTCACTTGTGTCTGCACAGAGCAGACACTCGCCATCAGATAAGCCAAACTGGGCCACTTCCAAGTCAGTTACTGTGCCAGGAGTGTCTTCATACCTCATCCCTTTAATGACAAGGCAAGAGAGAAGAACTAACCCAAGCAAGTAGCAGACAGAAAAACATTTCCAAGGCATAGAGAGGACTCAAAAGTAAAGGTCAGAAAGTGGTGAATCGAAGGACCTGATCCAAGGAAAAGATAATGATCCGAACTGTCCTGCCACTACCAATAGCTGGTCATGGTTAGGCTCTTGTGGACAATGAAGCTTTATTTCAACAGAGCCCACCAGCAGGATGGATCAAATGGGTGGTCTGAAGGAATGAGCAGCTGCCACTGCTCAATGACTCCATGAGTCTGACCACAGTCA